GTTCTCTTTTCTCTCCCCAGAGTGTGGCCAACCTCATAGAAAGGCGGCAGTACGAGACCAAGGAAAACAAGTGAGTGACACTCACCGCAGCTGGGGCGCTGAGGCTGACGTCCCGGTTCTGGCTCCACCATGGGCTCGGCAGCGGGGCACAGGGCTGGTCGGATCTGCCAGACATCAATGGGGAGATCCATGGGGGTTGGAGGGCCCTGAGCCACCTTTTCTTGTCCCTGCCCCAGGCGGCTGCTGGAGAAGTCACAGCGGGTGGAGGCTATCCTGGCGTCCATGCAGGCCACAGGCGCTGAGGATGTGCAGCTCCAGGAGATCGAGGAGATGATCACGGCCCCTGAGCGCCAGCAGCTGGAGAACCTCAAACGAAATGTCAACAAGTGAGTGCCCATGGGAGGGGACACCCCGGGGAGCAGAGCGAGGTGGGACGCCCCGGGGACGCTGGGGTCCCCTCACACGCCATCTGCCTTCCTCCATGCTCCCGGCCTCTCCATCTCTCCCCCAGGATCGATGCCAGCGAGAACCAGGTGGACGAGACCATCTTTGTGCTGGAGTCGTTCATCGAGAGCACCATGAAGAAGCCCTGAGGGTGCACCGGCAGGGGGACGCCGCATCCCAGCCCCCATCTCGGGGTCCTGGCTCAGCTTGGTGGCAGCGTTGGCCACAGTGCTCGTGCCTCTTTCAGCACCGACGTTGCTTCTGCAGGGGAAAATAAACTAAACCCGACTGCTGCTGCCTGAAAGCTCTGTGGGGATGGGGTCCCCGCTCCTGCCTGGCGAGTCCCACGGTTGGAGGGACCGTGGGTGGGGGGCGGAGGGGCTTTTGGGGGCAGAGCCCTGAGTGCGCCGGGGGTGATGCTGTCCCCTGCCTGCCCTGGAGGGTGGCACCCCTCCACAGGTGGCCCTGTCCTAGATGTCCCAGGGATGGCGTCGCCCCAGGGGGTGGGGGTCCTGTTCTTGCCAGCTCCCGGGGGTGGCACTGTCCCCTTCCCTGGGGAGGTCCTTGCCGCCCCCCACCGGGGTGGCCCCGTCCCGTCCC